ATAAGGCCAGCATATTGTTATATTCATAAGAAATAGCACAGGGCTTATTTTATTTCTAATATTTAAAAAAAGATTATTAAAAAAATTAATAGTGAAATCAGATACACATGTAATTTAAGGAACAAAATAATAATAATAATAGTCGCCATAAGGAGAATGAGCTTATTCGTATTATTATATATTCATTGAGCAATTGATTACAGGAGACGTCTGGTAGCCTAGTATGTGAAGTATTCATGAGAACCCGTTAAATGCACAATTCACATAAGTAAATGCTTCGTGGAGGAGTTTGGAAAGACGTTTATACTAAAATCGTTTTTCATTTGTAGGGAACCTAAAAGACTAGGAAATACGCGGAAATACACCTCTGTATATACAACATGAGAGGAAATGGATTTATACTAGTAAAGTTAACCATTTTTGATGGAAAATCGCGTTTCGCTACACGTCTGAATAATGTAAGGGAATATGGAAAAATTTGCGTGCGTGTATGAAAGAGGAACAAATGAAATGAAACCAAGGGATATGTCCAATGAGTTGGGAATAGCATAAATTTAACATATGGAGAAAGAGACAGATTACTGGGTTCAGAGTCTAAGCGTTTGAACGTAGACTCAGACAGAAGAGATTAAATGAAACTCATATAGGAGATTAAAAGGTCAGAAATAAGACATTTCACTAAGATGGTAAAGGTTCATAGCCGGAAATGGCTAAAATAGGTACCTTTTTCTCCAAGGGGTCAGTGAGTTAAGTAATTCAGGTAAGAAGACAATGACGTAGAGCACATATAAATAATGGCAAGGCAAATATTGAATATTCAAAAGTTGATGAAAAAATAATACCTTTGATTGGATGCTAAAATCATTAAAAGATATGGTTTCAAAGACTATGAAGCTATCATACTTCTCGTTTAAGTTAGTCAATAAAAAATTCCTAACTAGAGTAATACATAAACTTCAGGAACCCGATATTTAACCCCTGGAATAAACAACGAATCTTTTCCCAGAATCAGATTTTTACGAGTTTTTTGTGGTGCTAAGAATGGCAAGGCTCATTGACGATGCTGGCGAAGCTCCTGGGAATGTATCAAGTACGTGGTCCGACTATGGAAATTATCATGCATACTATGGACTACAGACAATGTGCGTTCCTCTAGATTTTCCTGCCAATATAACCAAGTTGCGAAAACTAGGTCAAACAACTACTATACAACGATATGAGACCGCGATTATACAAAAGGCCCCACCATCTTGGCTTTCATACCTTCGAATAATCAATTATATACAAAAAACAAGATGTTGTGGCCTCTATTTTGGTCGCAGTCTCATTTCGATGTATTAGAGTAATCTTACCTTATTTTCACAATTTGCTCGTGTTTTCAGGAATACTTAGTTAAACAGTACTCTTCCGAAGTCTTCTGCTATAGAAGTTATGATAATTTTTAGCGTAAGATGGTGGACTCGGGACAAAATGCTTCCAACAAAGTCACCCTGAAAATACGACCTAATTGAGAAAATAAGATCAGATTAGTTCATTACTCAATTAATTGGGCGAATGGCGGGATATCGAAATTTTCGTTGACGCTATTAAATTTTTCAATCAAGAAATTTTTATGAGTTAATAAAATAAATTATTTCGTTAGACAGAGGTGTTGAACGAAGACGCAAATTACAAATTAATAAAGTTGTTAAATAAAATCATACTACTTTTGATCATCATTTAAGCAATACAGGATAATAGATGTAAAAATATAAAAGAATCAGCAGTCGTAACTAGAAAAACGGAAAAAATACTTGTTTATATTTGTAGAACAGTAAGTCTGATTCTGGCCGTGCAGAAGAGAAAACAATTCTAAGATGAATCAAAGAAGAGGCAAGGCATTGAACAGCAAGTCCGGTCGTGTACGCGAGAAAGGAAGATCTTAATGCGACGCGGCAGGCATGTGAGGAAGGCTGATGTAGTAAATGTAGCCAATTCTTCGCAGAGAGTGAAAATCTGCAATTTGAAGGCGACGACGAAACGGAATGCTGAGGAGAGACTGACGACTACGAGAGATGAAAACAAGGAAAATTAATTAAAATTGCATCCTTGCATTGGAAATAGCCTAATGTTTTGCAAGCCTAGGCAAGTATCCTGAGATTCTGTTCATAAGACTAAATTAAGATTTAATTCATTACATACAAAGCGTAATGTTTTATGCGTCCCACATAGCAGCTCCGGATACAGGCGGATTTAAGCAAGAAATTCATGTGAGCTTATTACATAAAAGAGAGGACAGGGAAATGTACTTGCGGATTTCGAACTAGTGTCAATGTAAACTGATATTCTGTTAGGAGGGTAAACAAGGGCTTTAAAGTCAAACGAATGTCAGCACTATATTAGGCAAATTCAATAAAGAAATGGAATAATTAAACAATAAATGGTACATATTTTACAAGAACTGTGTTACCTAACTTCGTTTAAGGTGAAGAATGACTAGCAATTGAATTTTCGCAAAATGATATGAGTAGGCCTTAGGTTTCTAGTGAATTTAAAATTGTATTATTTCCAAAAAAGTATTCCTATCAAGAGTGGACTATAGTTTTGACCTCACTTGGGTCTCATCAGCATCCTCAGCAAAAATCTGACCAGGATAGTGGATCGTACAATTATGACATGT